TTGTGCCAGCTCCTGCAGTGAAAACTGATCACCTGGTACTGCCATCTTCCAGTCATGCTGTTTTCAGCATGGATGCCCTGATGAATCCACTGTCTCAGCCTCCAGCTCTCCCTCTTTCATTGCCAGCCTTGCACTGTGCCCTTCCCTGTGCTGGCTCCATTCAAACAAGGTACTTGCAATTCCTGTTGCCTTAGAATCAATTTGAACAGGCTGGGACTTGTTTTCAGCAACATCAGAACTGTTGTACTGGGCCATTAGCTGAACACTTTGGGATGTTCACTGGTGGGATGGAAAAGCTCATTTATGTACTTTATCTTAAAACATCGTTATCATAAGATCCCACAGCTGACTGCGTATGGACTACAAACATTCTGACAGATATCCCAAGAGATACTCATAATCAAATATCCAGACGCAGGATTAAATCCTGGGATTCCATGGGATCCTTATGGAGGATGTAAACAAACAAGCCCTGCCAGTTAGTAACTTATTCCTGTGAACACCCAGAATGCTTTTATTTGTGACCTTTCCATAAATTCTCTGAGGGTGAATTCCCTGTATTACCAAGGAAGAAGACACAAAACAGCCCTCTTTTTGACTCTATTCCTGGTGAAGTACATCCACAATCTGCGATGGTCCTTACTGAATCCTGGTGAGACACAGCAGACTTCCTGTGGAGGATAGATACGGTCTCCAAAGAATTCCCTCTGAGGAGTGGGTAAGGACATCCCTCAGTGAAGATATGAAGAGGATAAAAGCTACAGAGGATTGGGGATTGACTGATGGTGTGGGAATATGTTGCGGATGATAGATAAATATGATTGTTCATAAATAATACAGCTGGGATGAGAACAGTTCTCCCAGCTGGCCGGATGACACCCCTACCTTTGGATGGGTCCTGGGGTGAAATGGACTCTTCCATCCCACCCCCCAAAAGATGTGTGGTTCACCCCGCACCTCAATCCCTCCCTTAAAACATCAAATGTCTGTAACCCCATTGGCCATGCCTTATCCCAACCCACCTTGAAGCCCCTTTATGAGGAGGCTTCGAGGGGCCATGCGGTCTCTTGGAACTTCCCCTCCCTTGCAGCTTCCCTTCTCCCAAACCCTCCTTTTGTCTCTCCCATCCCCCACGCTCTCAGGCCCGGCCACATGCTGCGCCTGGGAGCACGAGGCAGAACCTTCTGCACCCCCAATAAACTTCTTCCCCCAAGAGCAAACTTCAGAGATCTCGGCCTCCTTTCATCGACACTGTGCTGGAGCCTGCTATTTTCAACAGGAATAGACATGCAAAACCGCAAGGGGAGCACATGTGCTTCTAGATGGCAAAACTGACAGCCCTGGGAATAAATTCTTCTGGGCCCACTTACTCATGGATGTGCTCAGCTATTCTCCATACTGAACTCCTTGTGTTGTTGCTCACAGTCATCCCACTCAGAAGCCACTGAAGCTGGAAATACATTCCTTTAAAGCAAAAAGAATGGACTGTCCTTGTCCTTCGATCTTGACTTTATTGGGGGATCTCACAAAACCCACAGATAAATATAAGCACAGGACTTCACAGAAATGACTGCACTTTTTCTTAAATAGAATGCAAGACAGGACATCAAGTCTCCCCCATTGCACCTTGATTATATACAAGAGACTGGGTCTGGATCAGAAAGCTAGCAGGCACAAACACATCAATGAGCTTTTATTACAACATCTTTCAAAAATTCTACTGGCAGCTGGAAATCAATCAGAAATTATTTTTACTTGCTGTGAGTGAGGTCATGACAGTGAATCATCAATAAATAAACAAATGAGAATGCAAAGTCTACAATAATTTGTAATTCTACATTGAAAAAGACCCCAGATCTCTACATCACTTTAAGTGGCATTAACTTCATAATGAAAAAAATGGATTTGATCAAATTTTAAGTCATACCATCTCATGCAATAATGAAAAACAGATTTCATGGCATATTTTCTTCTGGATTACTTCAGTTACTTTCAGAATCTCAGAAGCTATTCCAAACTCAAAGTTTTGCTTTATATTTTGTTTTGGTTTATTTTATTTATCATTTCAATTATCCCTGGCCAAATTAATCCCCAATCTCAGTCCATTACATACAGTTGCCTAAAAAAAAAGGACTGACTTGCATCTGCAAGACCAGCAAAGGGAAGGTTCTAACACAGTAACATCCAGTACTGAGGGCATAAACCCCATTTAAGTCAGTTTCAAGTTCAAGCTTAAAACCAGCAAAGTTAAAATCTTCCAGGCCAGATTGTCAAGATCAAAACCATTAATTTTAAAAGTTGAAAGCAGTCAGGGCCTCCTCCTAGGAGATACTGAGTGACCCTTAACACCAAAGTACCAAGAGTTGAAAGAGCTCTGAAGCCTCCAGGACTGGGACCTCCAACAGGCTACAGTTCCCAGAGACCAGGTAAAAGTGGTCTCAGGGATCACCCCTCCAGTGGATTCCAGTAAACACTAGTTAGAATTTAGTCAGCAATTTTCAGGACCAAGTTCCTAGATTCAGAAATACCTGCTGTCCCAGCAAAAGGAACAAGGGACACATATGTTTTGGCTGCTAACTGCTGACACTCACACTCAGGACAGAGGAACACCCACATCATCCTTGCATGGCTTCTTTGCGAGTTCATAAATTTTTAAAGGGGAATAAATACTTTTTCACATAACAACATACTCCACAAGATGCTCCCGGTACTGTTTTTACTCTGTCACAAGGTTAAGTGCATAAACATCAGTTACTTCAGATATAACACTGAATTTAAACTTGTCTTATCCTGGTCCAACATAATCACACTTTCATTGCCCAAAATCCATGTCTATGGATTATTCTAGGAAAAACAAGTTTCATGTTACTCTGTTGGAAGAAAAAAGCCAGAAGAGGATTATTAAAGACACTGGACCCACTTCATCAAATGACCTAGAACTACTGGCTTTTGTAAGTAATAACAGAGAATGAGTGACAGCTTTGTGGGCTCTGCAGGGCGAAGCTCCAAGTTAACCAGTGGATAAATTGCCATGTTGGAAACATAAAACCATTCTGGGAGATGACATGTGAAAGGCAGACACAGCAGGGGCTTCTAAGGGGGTGAATTTGCAGGAGACCAGGTTGCCAGTGACACCAAGGCACAAAAAGTGCAACTTGACAACCCAAAATCTTCGTTCTGCTGAGTTACCAACTGAGGGTCTTGCTGCCTTTCTGATTTCATGCTAGATTTTAGATTTTAGTTAGGGAGGAACTTGGAGGAAAATGATCTGAGGGTGCTCTAAGGACTCAGAAAACACATAAACTGTTAATCTCGTGTCTTGCATCTCCCCAAGACTTGATATTCTAGAGCAGCCAATACTGGCCGTGCTTCAGCATGATGAGAGATGCAGATCCTGCTCAGAATGAGGATGAAGGATTCTCGCTGTCTCCTGCAGGAATGTAGGAAGGATTAAACGTGCCCTGCTCTGTCCACAGGGAAAAGCAGAACAAAGAATTCTCCACTCTCCTCCCGGTGTGTTCCCGGCTTTAGTCATGGAAGACGGATGTTGTGGGGCAAGATTTGAGTGAGAGGTAACACATCACTTCGGAAGGAGTTTCAGAACTGGCTCCATCACACAAAGCTACCCAATGCCAGCACCGGGAAAACCTCCACCCGACACCGGAGGGCTTTTGCTGCCCTCTCCCGGGATACGACCGGCGGAGGCACCGCCCGTCTCGCCCGGAGCCCGAACAACCGCGGCGAAAATAGCGCGGAGACTTTGAAGTGTCCCTGTCGCCAGGAGTTGGATTTATGGCGTGCAGCAGCACCTGCACAACCACTGCCAGGGATTCGGTCCATGCCTGGTGTTCCCTTATAGGGCACAGGGCTCTCCCGTGATGGGAGATGCCAAAATTCCAACCGGCTCTTGGGATGCCGAAAATACCAACCAGTTCTCAGGCTCCCTCGTCTCTGCTCCGTCGGTACGAGGGGTTCATCTTCTCCGGGAATTACCACCCTCGCTATCAAAGGCCTGCAGAAGTAACAAGAGAAGAGGATCACACTGTACCCAGTCCAACCCCACGTCTCAGGCTGATGATCCCAAGGATGGACCTCCTATCTGTATGAAGAGGCAGTGGTCTAAGCTAAGAGCCCCAGTTTTGGTTAGGATTCGAAGCTTCTGATGCAGCTGCTGCCCCACTGGGTGAAGGGTAGCTGGGATCATGGCCTCTCACAAACCTCTCTACCACAAAAAAAAAAAACAAAACAAAACAAAACAAAACAAAAAACCTACAAGTCTTTGGCCTTTCAACATTGTCAAAAACTGTCTGACTTTGTAAACCCTGTGCCAGCTCTGACAGCAGTGGTGCCTTGAAGAGATGACCAAAGTGCTTGTCACACCATGAAGCTCTGTCAGGGGAGGGTTACGTTGGATATCAGAAAAAGATTCTTTTCCCGGAGGGTGCTGGGACACTGAGCAGGCCCCACAGGCAATGGTCATAACCACAAGACTGCCAGAGCTCCAGGAGCATTTGGACAATGCTCTCAGGCACACGGTGGGAATGTCCTGTGCAGGGCTACGTGTTGGTCTCGATGATCCCGGTGTGCCTCTCCCAGCCCAGCATATGCTATGATTTTTTTCCTGAAAGCTGTATGTCCTGTCTCAGTTTAAGGCCATTTCCTCTTGCCCTCTCACTGCTTGCCCTTCTCACTCTAGAAGAGACCGGGCCGCACCTCACTCCAATGTCCTTCCGGGTAGCTACAGTGGCCCCAAAGCCTCCCCAGATTGCCCCAAACCCGCGCCCTCCGCCCCCGGCTCCCTCCCGCGGCTGTCGCTCCTCCTGCCGCCAGGGGGCGCTGCGGCGGCAGGGCTGCCGCTCTCTCCGCCCGCCGGGGCCGCGGAGGAGGCGACGGGGCTGGCCCGGGCGGCGGCGGGAGGGGCCGGGGGAGGGACCGAAGGACCGGGGCACCGGGGGTGGGGCGGAAGGCGGGGCGGTGGCGGCGGTGGGGCCGGGCCGGGTCGGGCCGGGCCGGGCCGGGCCGGGCCGGGCCGGGCGGTGGAACAGCGCGGCCCCGCTGAACCCGCCGCGGGGCCTGCGGGAGCAGCATGGCCGCCAGCCTGTGGATGGGGGACGTGAGTGTCCGGCCGGGACCGCGCGGCTTTGTGCGGAGGGCGGCGGGGCTGCGGGGTTCCGCGGCCGGGCCGGGGCGGGGCGCGGGAGGCACTGACCGTCTGATACCACCACGGACCGGCACCCGCACAATGACGCTCTCCCACCGACCGACCGACCGACACCCTCCCATTGACTCTCGCACTGACTGACACCCTCGCACCAATTGATGCTTCACTCCGGCACCGTCACACTGGCTGTCTGACACCATTACAGCAACTGACAGCCTTACTATGACCGACTGACGCTCTCCCTCTGACACCCACACAACCGACAGACTGACATCCTCACAGTTCGGACACCCTCACTGTGACTGACATCTGACTCCAGCTGACCCTGTCCCTGACTGACTGCCCTCTTCACACCACTGGCACCCCCACACTGACACAGCCTCACAGCCCCTCACACATTCAGATACACCTAGAACTCCCCAAGTGACATTCATGTCATATGCTCCTGTGCATGCTGACATGCTCACACAGGCTGACACACACACTCTCAGACATAAACCCCAGCCTGACAGGCACATTTGTGACCAGTTACACACACACACCCCAGAGTGATCCTCATTGCAGCCAGATCACATCTACACTTAGACCAGTGTCCCTGGTGGTCAGACACATGCATGGTCACCAAAAAGTCTCACACTTCCATACTCTTAAGAGGCACTTACTCCCATACTCACAGCATGTACACTTGCATTCTTTGAGGATTTATCTGCTGTTTTACCTGCTCAGCTGCTGTAGGCACTTACATGCTTACATTGTACAAGGGATTTACACACACTCATGGTTGTGCTGCTGATTGTGCTCACACTTGTAGGCACATTTGTATGCACTTTTCCAAGATTATCCCTCACAACCTGCCCCCTACGTGCTCACCTTCGGGTGCACTTAGACTCTCATAGAGATTTTGACTCTCCTACATGCACTCACATTCACAAGCACTTACACTTCCTGCTAGGTCCCTCATTCCTGCCTGTGTGTGTACCTGGCAGGAAGAGCACCCGTGTGAAACACACTCACGGGTGCTTCTTCACCCAAGGGTGTCTTGCTGCCCATTCACATGCACCCTGTAGGCACACTCACAATGATACACAACCCACAGCATCCCTTGTGTGCCCTTCACACACCCTCACTCTTGTGCCCTTGTGTCCTTCACATTCACTGCTGAGCACACACTTTCACACATATGTGTATTCACCCCAGCATGTTGTAGTGCCCTGCCACCCAGCCGCACTGCATGTGTGTATGCTCAGTGTGTTGTGGTGACTGCATTGCTACCACTGTGGTACACTGTGACGCACACACACGGTCCCACTGCTGCGTATAGTGCCTTTGCTGCCACGCATTTGTACACACCTGTGTGCACTCCCACTATGTGTATACATGTCACAACTTCCCTGCCACCTGTTTCTTGGACGCATATCTTCCTTTAGCCCCCTTCTTGCAACTCACACCAGCACAGTCCTGCTTGCATGTAGTGTTCCTCATCTCTCACCTGTGTGTGTACACACAGCCCAGCACATTCCCGAGAATCCCACTGGGTACTTCTCTCCCACACACACACTCAGCACACCCAGTTTACCACAGTATCAGGGTGTCCTCTACTGCCTTTACTCGTGCATGGAAACTCTATGGAGTCTGTTCTCCTCTTCCCCACACAGAGGGTTTTCAGTCACCTCTCTGTGATAAAGTCCATCTTCTTTTTCATCACTACTCTCACAAGCAGGCCATGGCTCTTTGAGCCATACGGACATATCCAAGCAACTGGTTGTCTTTACAAATACAACTTTCTGTACACACACAGCCAGGATCACCCTGGCATGTCTGTGCAGAGTGGTGCTGCTTCTGCTCCTGACACAAGTCAATTCTGCTTCACACTCACCTCCACAGGGCATCTGCTGCCTTTTACACGTGCAAGTGCAGTATGGTCACTTTCACATACTACACAATCTGTCACACATGCAAGTGGTGGAGCCACCTGGTACTTGACAGACAAACAGATACTTGAGGGCTGTAGGTTACCGTGAGACACCTATCTTACGCAGGATACATGGAGCTATATATATATTTTATACATACATTTTTCAGCTTCATGTTACCTGTCACACACACTGTTCTCCATTTTCATTTTGGTTAGTTCCCTCCTCCAGTTTCTGTTATACACAGGGGTGTCCTGTTCACTCAGGCTCTTCATAGTATATTTGATCCAAATTCCAGCACCATTTCCTACTTGTCAGTCCCTTACAGCACACAGACACCTGCTCTCCAGCGTGTTCACATGCACTCTTACCTGCACAGTGCGGTCCTTCCTTGTGAAATGAACAAGGTCAGTGCTTCCATGGGCAGGATGAAGTGTAGAGCTGCTGTGGGACACGATTCCAGGGCTTCCCCCAAGTGCTGCTCTGGTATCTCCAGGCTTGTGCGAGGCAGACAAAGCTCTGCAGACCCCTAGCACAGCTCCACGGGGCAGTGTCACCTGCCACATGCAATCCGGGGTTATGCCACACCTGTGTATCCACAATGCTGGCCCAGCCTTCACTTGCACCTGGAGAAGGAGCCTGCCATCTTCTCCCCTGCTCCTGTACCAAATGCTCAGTTTGTTGCTGTATGTTTCTGAGTAGCTTTTGTCCTTCTGTGAAGCTCCCTGTTCTCTGAAATTCATGCTGTCTCTTGGGTTCCACTTTGCAGACTGTTGAGCCTGGTTCATGCATGCCTGCTGGTTTTGAGTGGCATCGACCCTCTTAAATGAATCTTCTTTTTGAAGTGTAAGGGTAAAATCATTCTCAATAATGTTTTAACTGATTAGAGGGGCATTGACACATATTCTCTTTTTTGTAGATGCTCTGATCTAACTTTCTTTCTTTTTTTGCTTTTATAGCTGGAGCCCTATATGGATGAAAACTTTGTTTCAAGAGCCTTTGCCACCATGGGAGAGCTTGTACTGAGTGTAAAAATCATTCGAAACAGGTTGACAGGGTAACTGTTTCTGTTTGTTCTCTGAGCGCATTTGGACTGAAGCGTTGCTGTGGTCTTTCTATATCAGAGTGAATTTTCCCTTTGAGAGTCTCACCATTGCTGCCACCGGTATGGGAATATTGATCAGAGAAATTGAGAGGGCACTGTTGGCTCCTCAGCCCTCCCTCAACAAACAAGGTTTGGTCCTCATCCTGCAGTGCTCCAGCACTCAGTCAGAGTGGTGTATGTATCTCATTCCATCCCTCTGGGAATTACACCTCCCCGGGCTTTGGTCACTAGTCTGTAGTGCAGCTATGTGATGCTAACAGAGGTGGGAAGTCTGACTTGGAGCAATAAGAGAACCTTTAGAGTTCATTTGAAATAAAATTAGTGATTTATGCAGAATAAAGCAGTTTAATTCTTATCCATTATTCTTTTAAGTGTTGTAATTTCAGTTTTCAGTAGTTAAAACTTGGACAGGCAAATTGATGGTCAGTAAAAGTAGGAAGTAAACCATAAGCTAAACCATTTTCTGTGTGCTTATGTTGACCTGACCTATGGTAAGTAGAGGCTATCCCTTCACATCCATCTTCTGTTTGGTAGCTAATATTTATACTTTAAAAATAAAATGTTCTATGTATTGCAACAATAGCAAATTTCCTACCAGTTATCTAAAATACAGTTTTCCTCATCAAATGTGTTTTAACTTTATAACTTCTGTCTCTTCTCTTCTGTGTTGTACAATCAGAATTCCAGCAGGCTATTGCTTTGTAGAATTTGCAGATCTAGCTACTGCAGAGAAATGTTTGCACAAAATCAATGGAAAACCACTTCCTGGTGCTACACCGGTAAGTAAGTGGGATCAGCCAGTTGAGAACCAAAACTTGGAAGGGACAGATAGTGTAGAATGTGTATTTTTAGTGATTACAGATAAATTGAATAGTTAGCAAACTGGGATTCTTCTTTGCTTTAGAACTGAAGTTATGACTATAAAACTGTTAATGTTCTTGCTCTGAAAACTGTTGAGAAAAACCACTGATTTCTTTGTGACTGTCTAGATAAAATTCAAGTGTAGAAGTGTTGTGGGGTGTGATGGTTTTTATATCTGACCATTGCTGCTGTTATCAAAGTTGGACTAATTAGAAACCTGAGAAGAACAAGGAAGAAATTCAACTGAGTATAGTGTATGTCTGCCACAATTCTTCCATCTCTGTCCTTTTGTGTAATCATGGAGTCACAGAGTGGTTTGGGTTGGAAAGGACCTTAAAGCTTATCGTATTTCATCCCCTACCACGGGTAGGAACACCTTCCACTAGACCAAATTGCTCTGAGCCCCATCCAACCAGGCTTTGAACACTTTCAGTGATGAGGCAACCTGAGAATTTAGCTCTGTGTGTTGTTATATGCGTAGAACTTGCAAGTTCACACTGTGTTTTGAGTAACATTGATTGGCAAGAGAAACATGACTATTAATCTTGCATTGTTCTTGGTCCTTAGCAAACAGAAGTTAAACCTCTTTACAGTGGAGAACAACACAGAGTATTGAATAATTGCAGTGCATAACTCTCTCCTCTACATAAAAGCTGGGTAGTTAGGGAGAAGAGGAGGAATAGGCAGAGAGGCTAATTTTAGAATGTTGACTCGAATATGTGGTAGATTAAAATGAGACGGCTAACACAGCTGTCTGTTGTACCCACAGGAGTTGGCTGCAGTAGCTGGGGTGACTGATTCATAAAGCAGCTCTAGAATCACCTCAGTTATGGTGTGATATACAAGGTAAATGGGTTCCTATTTCAGAGTAGTTAATACCCAGAGTAGGAGACTGGGAAGTTCAGACTGAGTTATTTAGTCAGGGTTCCTGAGTGGGTGACGTACCCTGTTAAAAGGAGTTGATGAGAGGCCTAGAGATACTTGTTTCATGTGTTTTCTCATGATTAAGGCAAGCTGATCATCCTGGATGCCTTCTATAATCACTGGAGACACAAAGAGAGCAGCTCTTGCAAGAAGTAAGATAATAATGGAAGTTTGGTTTTGGGAATACCCATCTTTCTTCACAGTTTTGTTCAAAGCACAGTGTGGAGGGATGATTTGCATAACACATAGAGAATTACAGATGTCAGGCAGAGATCCAAAGCAGCCCAAATCAGTACACTTGGCAGGCAAGTGCCTAGCTCATCCTTTGCATTTAGAGAATTTTGTTTACAAAAAACTTGAGTTTGGCACATGCTTTTATTTTTTTTAAATATTGAATCAGTCGAAGGAATAACAGAGAGCCATGGTGCTGGTGCTATCTTTCTTTTCCAAGCATTGGTGTTCTCAGTTCCCATCTGAGTGAAAGTACTCTCAGGTGTCTTGTTGATTTTAAAGCCAGAATATTGCAGTGAAGAGTGAGATAAAAAAAAATAAAAATCTAAGTGCTTCAAAGTGGAATCTAAATTTTGTGTTAGCTTGTAAATGATCCACAGAAAGTTGTGTAGTACTGTGCTCCAAAGAATGCAAGCATGCAAGGAACAGGATTATAGCCTAGAGTTAAGACTGTGCTCTATTTCCCAAGAATTACCTGTTTTTGAGGGAAGGAAATCCATCACAAAGGCCCAGGAACACACTGGGCTCTTCACTGTACCGAACAAGTACCCTGATCTCTAGGGCATTTCTGATTGTGATCTGAAATCCTGATTATATGATCTGAAATCTTGATCCTGAGATTAGCCCATGATCTCTAAGAGCTGATTCAAAGATCTTGGTATTCTTAGATCTTGGTCTAAACTTAAATGTAAGTTGGGCAAAAGTTGCTAAAAGTATGGTAGGTTGGGGACAGAGTGTTCCAGATGTGCCAGAGGGCACAAATCTGGGCGGCTGGGAAACTTGTTTCAAAAATAAATCCAGATGCAAAATTTAAAGAGTGCTCCAGTGTCCTTTCAGTAGTAGTAGTTCTTTCAGAACCCTTTAATTTTGAATCTTACTAAATGTCCAGAGCCAAGTATTTAGCCACACTTCCAGACTCAGGCTGATTCCATTTTCTGGTGTGTTGGATTCTGGTCTGCTAGTGTTTGTGTTAAATCACAAAAGTCCAGTAGTGGTACTGTCGTTTCATTTTAAGACTTTAAAATGGGAAAAAAATTAACATTTGTTATTACATTTTGATTTTCATTATTATATCTGTACTAATGCTAAATAAAAATGTGCTTATTACCTTAACTGATTGGCCTGAAGGCATTGAACATATGTCATTAAGTTGCATTATATCAGCTTGTTGTATTTTTCCCTAATTGCTTGAATTCACATGACAACATTTGAATGTATGGATTCATTTTTGCCTCGTTTCAGGCGAAGCGATTTAAATTGAATTATGCAACATATGGAAAACAGCCTGATAACAGGTAAGTGCTCAATATTTAAATATTAATTTTGCCTGCTTAATGTCTCTCTATTAATTGCCTTGCAAAAATTATTCAAAATATATAAACCCAAAGTTCATCACTGCCAGTCTTTAGTAGAAGGAACTCAGTCTACCAGTTTTGTGCTTTGCCCTGTGTGTGGCACAACAGATATATCCAGTGTCCTTTAAGGTACTTAAACTTTGTAGCATCCAAGTATCTAATTCATATATTATAATTTAAGATCTATGTATTATAATTTGAGATCAATGTATTGGAAATAACATCTCTATAAATGAGATATTTTTTCTTGTCATTTTAGAAATCAGAGATATCCTGAGTAATAAGCATTGAAATAATCTTTAAAGAAAAAGCAGTATTAAGTTGGTTGGTTGTTCTGCTTGAATTAGCTTGAAAAAGCAGTGTCAATCAAAATTTTAGTTCAGCAGCTTAACTGGTGGTACTTCAACATCTCCATTAAATGGTCTTTTAATATCACTCTTCTCTGAGTTCAAATATTTAAGCTAAATGGTAACCGTCACTCAGCATGTCCCTTTTTTTTTCTTTTGATTGTATTTAAGACTTTTACTTTTGATTTCTATAGTCCAGAATATTCCCTTTTTGTGGGAGACCTGACTCCTGATGTGGATGATGGGATGTTATATGAATTTTTTGTTAAAGTTTATCCATCGTGTAGAGGTGGAAAAGTTGTTTTGGACCAGGCAGGAGTATCCAAGTAAGTTGTCTTTTATTCACTTTTTTTTTTTTTTTTTTTTTTTTTTACTTCACATGTGGCAATAGGGAAGATAGAATGCAGTAAGGGGGAAAATTTCTTTTGGCTTAGATTTTAGTAATCTTCAAATATAGTGGTGTTGACCATTCAGGCTGCAGTTTGCTTGAGTTTTAATAGTTACCATGGGTATTGTCACTCCTCTGTCAGTGTGAGGCCCATTGTGTGTTATTGCACTTCTTAAAATGCTGAAAAATACCTTAAGTAATCTTGAAATACTCTCTTCCTGGACTCTTGGGTGGAATTGTTCTTTACAAACTTTAGGCTATTGAGTGTATATTCCTGTGAGAGCTGTACAGGTTTTCTTTCAAACAGGGTAGGGTACACAAAGCTGTGATTCACTGTCAGGTTCTCAGTAGCTGCCTTGTTTGTCTTTCCTGAAAACATCTTGCCAAAAACAGCTATCAAAAAGTTGGATTTCTTAATGTAATTAAAACATTTTCTAAATAGCATGCAATTAAGCTGTATTTTCCAGAGGAAGGAGCAGTTGGTGAGCATCCTTGTTTTCAAAGCAGAGCATGGCTTCAATGAAGCACAATTCTGTAATATAACACCTGTGAGAATGTTGGGATAAGATATAGGCTATGGCTGTAGGTCCCTCCATCTTCTGATAATGGGGTTTCTTAATCTTAGGTTGGTTTGAAGGAATCTCTGGAGGTCTCTGGTCTAGCTCCTAACAGGACTGCAGCCTGCACTAGATCATATCATCCATGAATTGTGTAGCCTGGAAAACCTCCCAGAATGGAGTTAATTCAATCTGTCTGGGCAGCCTGTTCCAGAGCTGCACTCCCCAGTCATGAAGTCCTTCTTCATGTGCATCTTGAACTTGTTGCAGAGCTACTCAGTCTCTCTGGCTATTGCGTCCTCATGCTGTCATTGCCACCTCCCCTGGGACTGACACTGCTGTGTTTGGCTCTTTGTACCTTCTGCTCCTCCTCAGTGTAAACCCCACAGTTCCTGTTGTGCTGCACCTGCTTCAGTCTCTGTCTATAGAACAGTTGTTGGTCCTGCAGGTTGGACTATTAATTGGGTTTTGGGAACTGTGCATAGGTGCAGACCTCAAGGAAAGGGAATCTGTGGTAGCTTGGGAAGTGGGGAAGGAGTAGGGACTTAAAAGTCCTGTTTCTGGGAAGAGCAAAGCTGTCTCCCCTGGCAGTGCCAGAGTGTTGGTGGCAGGGGCTTTGTTGGGACTTATGCAATTGCTCAAAGCTGAGACATCTGCAGGTGTCAGTGTGATGTGAGAGAGGAGCTTAGGGCTTGTAGACATGCCCAGTGAAGCCCTGGCCCTTCCAGCCAAGGCTGGTGGATCAAGAAGGCCTCCTCCCAGACTCTCTTGTCCAGACAGGAGAGGAGCTTGGAGCATGGTGCTGTGGTACTGTGCCTACTTCTCTGCTTTCTGTTGAGGGTACAGGTGCTGAGGCTTTTCCAACTTCAGGGGCACGACAGAAAGTTTGTAGGGAGGTCCTGGCCAAGAAGAAATTATTTCTTTCCCCACCAATGGAAGAATCAGTATCTGGAAGACTTGGAAGAATCACTGTCTTCCTTGCAGCACCCAGCATCTATTCCTGTACACCGCATCCATCTCTATTTGTGTCTCTTTTGGAACTGCCAGTCTTCCCAGTTTCACTTTCACACTCCTGGTCCCATCTGAAAATCTGCAGGAGTCTTTTGGCATTTAGAAACTTAGTTGGGTTTGTGTGTGAGCACCTTAAACTGACTTAGAAATTGACTTGCACTGGATAAATTTGCCATAATCCTTTGGCAGAGGGCAAGTTAAATGAATGTGGGTCTGTGTAGAGTTTTGCTTGTGTTTAATAATCTAGTTTGTATGTAGATACACACCTGTGTATATATATATATATATATATATATATATATATATATATATATAAGAGTTTTGGACTTGTGTGTGGAGCTTGCTGTGCAAGGTACTGCATTTTCTGGGGCATGAACTGCTCTAAAATAGCTGCTAGTGGGGACCTCCCATGAGAAGTAGGTAATGCTGCTTCCAAAATAACACATTACTTGGTGTTTAGCAGTTCCCACAGAATAGATAATGCACTAAATTTACACCCTTGCTTATGGCTTGTTTTTTCGCCAGGTAGACAAGCCCTTCCCTCCCAAATTTCTTCCTTTGCTTAGATGGATTCCTCTTACCCTCCCACACCTAAGTCTTTGATCTTTCTGCTGCGTTAGGCAGCCCATCCCATGATGAGATCCTGGCACTGCCCTCTTGGATGCTGTTGCATTGCTTCTGACTCACTACGGCATCAAAAGCCCACGCAAAGGATTGTTGGGGTTGGAGGGAGTTGGAGTTTTCTGTCTGGCTGACATGCAGTTCTGCCACATCACGGTGAAGGCTTGTTGCAGAGTCCAGGGGTTCTGGATGTGCTGTCTGTTCCAGGTGCGCCCTTGAGAATATCAGTATCTTCCCAGCAGAGATTTGGGGCGTTACCATGTGTCAGTTCATGCATTTCAACATGGCTTGTGTTAGCTCACTTCCCCAGAATCCACTGGCACAAGAACTACTTTACACTGACAAGCCCTTGAAAGTACTGCCAGAGCTTGGACATGTGGCTTCAGGCTTTCTGGAAAAGCGGCTGGAAGGTAGAATAATTTCATCTCTCCCAAGTGCTGGGATAACAACCCTAAGGAACATTTTTGTACACTGTTTTTCCCAAACCAAATCAAACTTCACTGTAACTAATTTTTATAACGTGGCATTGCTCTTTGGGGTTGGTTTTATGTGAATTTTTCTGTCTCTGCAGAGGTTACGGGTTCGTGAAATTCACAGATGAATTGGAACAGAAGAGAGCACTGACAGAGTGTCAGGGAGCTGTGGGGTTGGGCTCTAAACCTGTACGCTTGAGTGTGGCTATACCAAAAGCGTGAGTAGAAGAACAGCTGGACATTTATATGACAAATCACATCTTGTTTTAAATGCCTTTTAGTCCTTTGGATACATGTCCTGGATGTCTCCATCACAAAATGAAAGAATACTGATTAATATGGGGAGTATCAGAATGCCCTGGGGTTCAAAGAAATTATAACATTAGCTCAATACTGAGCATTTTACACTGTTTTGAATTGTATACATTATTAAATCCCTACACATGTGCACACACTGTAGTTAAATATGATTGTATTTAAAATGTATGTTCCTTTGCATTAAATTGAAATAGTTTAAATCTTCCTAATGATGACTGGATAGCAAAGCTCAACTACCTTGCTAATTCTATTATGATATCTACTACATATAAGACTTTTGGGGCAAAGATTAACTTTTTTTTCTGTGTTTGTTCAGAACCTGATACAATGAGATCCTGGTCTGACTTGGGGCTCGTAGCACTAGGGTAATACGAATCATAGTAATTGCTCCCTGTTTGAATAATATTTAGATTTTCAGTGACCTCATAAATCTTGGTGGGGAGAAGGAAGAGAAAAGCAGAAAAAATGGGTGCATTGTGGTGAGAAGATTGATGTTTCCTTCCTCCTGCTTCTCACTAATGTCATCGTTAGTAGAAATAGCTTTATGTGTGACATATTTTCATTTCCAAACAATATTTGTCATCTTATTATTTCAAACCTTGATAGTTAGGTGAAATGGTGTTCCTTAGGAATGCTGTCACTTCCTAAAGTGGCAAGGAATAGGAATTTTAGTCAGTTCTCAGAGCATTTATTTTTTGATTACTAGTAGTTCTTATTTCATTAACTTTTTCAAGTCTGTGCATTGAAGACCACCTGGTTCAGAGAGAAAGGGGACAGGGCCTTGCTTAGGTTTCTGTATGACAGTGGCAAAAGGGAGAGTTTTATCCATTCTTACAAAAGAAAACTCAAGGTTTTTTGCCAGCCTTTAAGTCTTTAACTCTTCCTGTAAAGCAAGGCTCAGTACTTTCTCTCAGAAAGCTGCAGATTACTTAACTTCATCCTCTTTACCAGATGGAAGAGGGGACTCCAGTATCTGGCTTGTGGTTCAGGATTGTTCTAAACTGAAGCTCATAGTCCTGAACTCTTCCCTTCCCAGAGCCAGGAAGTGATACCAAATTAACTCATAAAGAATGAAAGTAATGTTTATTAATGAAAAGGAATATGAATACAGGAAAGGGTATTAAATTTAAACCACTTCTTTCTTTATGCAAATGTATGCAAATAATATTACTGCAGTAAATAGTGAATATATTTTAAAGATTGAAGTTTTCTTGTTAGACTAAGCCTTTTCTCTTTACTACATTGTATCTTAAGCTGTTTCACTGCTTTTTTCATACTGGTTCTGCACTATTTTATTGCAATTTTAAAAAATGATTTATTGCTATTTTATTGGTATTTTTTCCTGCTTTATTTTTTTAAGTAATCGTATGAAACCAATGGAGTACAATCAGATGTACAACTATAATTACAACCAGTATTACCAACAGTATCACAACTACTACGCTCATTGGGGGTACGACCAGAACACGGGCAGTTACAGCTACAGCTACCCCCAGTATGGCTACACGCAGAACACCATGCAGGTAGGACAGCACAAGCTTGAAAGGTGGAATGGGGAGCATGTCATCTTCATCTCTGAGAATCACAGAATGTCCTGAGCTGGAAGGGACCCACAGGAATAGAGTCCAGCTTCTGGCCCTGCCCAGGACACCCCAACAATCCAACCCTGTGCCTGAGAGCATTGCTCAAATGCTTCTGGAGCTGAGGCAGCATTGGAACTGTGACCATTCGCTGGGGAGCCTGTTCAGTGCCCAAGCTCCCTCTAGGGGAAGAATCTTTTCCTGATATCCAGCCTGACCCTCCCCTGACAGGGGGAGGCTCCAGCCGTTCCCTCAGCAGGTCCTGTCCCTGGTCATGGAGAGCAGAGATTGGAGCTCTCCCTCAGGAGGAGCTGCAGACCCTAAGGAGCTCTGCCCTCTGTCTGCTCTGCTCCAAACTGAACACACCAAGAGATCTTAGTATATACCTCTTAATAATGAAGTCTTAATATAGCTACTATTTAGTGTTTAGCCCCTGGTGTGTCCTGTTGCCTTATGGAGAGTATATTGCTGAGGTAAAAAAATGTTTGGAGGATATAAAGGGTCTCTTAGTACAGTTGTGATGGTAGAAGAGTTCTCTTGGTACAGGCAGTGCTCAGAGTGTCTTTGGGATCCTTCATAAACTTTGTTATAAGGGATAGAACACATCAGAACAGTCACTTCACTTCAACCCTGGAATTTCAAGAACTGCCTCTGTTAGAGGTTTAGTGTAGGATCTTGCCCATGGAGTGTTAGGAATGGAACACAGGTTTATGTGTGAAGAATTCTGTTGTAGTAACTCCAGTATAAAAGTCAGTCTCTGACAGTACTAATCAACAAGTGATGCTTGCAAAAGAAAAGATAATTATCCACTGTCCTAACGGGTTTGTTTTTCCTTGCAGACATATGAAGACGTTGGTGAGGATGCATTGGAAGGTATGTTTCTCAAATCCTGTATTGAAGTTCTATGTATGTTCTGTACTGCTTGGAGATAGACTTTCTGAAATTGGCCCTAATTTCAATTTATAATATGCCTTTATCTTTGAGTAAATCTGAGAAAATGTGTGGGTCACTATTGCCTAGAACAGTTGCATCCTGGTTTTACTCTTGCTGCTCCTAGTCTGAACCTGGTGAGGACTGAACCTGTTTGACTTCCCCAGCACTGAGATTTTAATCTTCTGTAGTACTGAAATTGGTATCCTTTTTTTACTAGGGTTTTTTTTCTGATATGCTTCCAAGAAAAAAGTAGATATTCTGTTTTTCTGCAAAATCTTGACATTTAGAGGCCAGAATACTTCATTGTGCTTTTAGTTTACAAGTAAAAGGGAATAATACTAGTCACCACACTGATAAAATATTTCAAGCAGTTGTTGCTTGAAATGGGTCACTGTCTCGTGGTTTGACACAGGAAAAGAATTTTCTTGGAAGGAAGGGGTCAGTCCAGTCAGGGGTCAGGTTTGGATACTGACACTTGGGGTGACCAATTGAGGGTGGACACGCCCCTGAGAACACAGAGGGGTAAAAAGCAGAACTCCCAGGAGAACTCGCTCTCTTTGGTTCCGGTCAGCGGAGAGTGCAAACCTCCCCTGCCCAGCCATGAGCTGGGTGGGGAAGGGGAAGCCATGTGGCCTGCAGAGGTAGGCCAGGGGGTGAAGGGTCTGGAACCGAGCTGGGCCAGTTCCTGCAGATGGAAGGGTGGAGAACGTCTGAGATGTCTTTGTTGCCCCCCCAGCCTAGAGGAAAAGACATAGAGAGCCTGCAGACACCCGGGAGTTTGCTGGCAGAGGAGAAGGAGGAGAGGGGGAAGATGCCCAGCGTGGGAGACAGCCCAGCGTCCTGGGCCAGAGATTTCAGCTGTCCGGGGAGTCCGGGAATTTTAACCCTTTCCTGTGAAATTAAGGCTCTGTGAAATATTGCTCCTCCTCAATTTGAAGGAAAGAGAGACAGCCGGGGACCTCAGTTGTTAGGGAAAGAAGGTTGGGGGGAGATGATCGAGTGGCTGTTGGCTGGACTCTTCTTGATAACCATAGACTGAACCAATCCTTCCTCCAAGAGAGACTTCATCTTAGGGGGATGCAATGGTGAACCAAGAGACTCCTTCAGCAACTACCAGTTCAGGAATGAACAGAGAAAAGCAGAGGAGGGTGTGAGGATGCCCTCCATCTTCAGAGAAGAAGAGAAGGCGATCTCTGTTCTTGGACCCCCGGCCCCAGGGGAAAATGGGGGGGACTGTAGTCCCAAAATGAGATACTGGACTGTTGTTCCTCTTGGTCCTTTACAAAGCCTATAAGCAGTCTCTGTCCATGCACAGTGGTGAGAGCACTGTGACATGGAGAGGAGAGTGTCACACTGGCAGATTCTCTCTGGGCAGTGCCATGTGTGACATGGAAACACAAGAGGTGGCAGCCTTGTTTCCTGGGGGGTCTATGGTGCAAGGGAGACTCCTCTCTCTGCTGATGGACTCAGTATTGATTATGTGGAAGGGTGAAGACTGGATTGAGGATCCAAATGTGTCTCGCTGTGATTTGTTGGAATTGGGTGGGGGGGAGGAGGAATGTTTAGAAAGGTTTTCATTTCAAATTTTGTGTGGTTTTTTTTCCCCTTTTATAGCAGCAGTAGTAGTAGTAGTAGTAGTAGTAGTAGTAGTAGTGGTAGTGTAATAAAGTTTTCCCCTTGTTACTAAGTTTGGCCTGCTTTGCTCTGTTCTAGATCACATTTCACAGCATTCAACTGATAGGTTACATTTTCATGGGGGCGCTGGCATTGTGCCAGTGTCAAACCATGACAGTCACTAAATCAGATCGGGGTTTTAGATACCTGTACAAGTAGCTTTCATTTATTGATGTAAAAAACTATCATTTCATGCCGGCCATTTTAGATTTCTGTCTTGAGTGCAATATGCACTATGCAGTATATCTTGCTCTATCCTAAAAAAAAAGTAAAAACTAAAAATCACATAATAACAGATCAACAGGATCCACAGGTATGAGTGATGGTGTGTGTGGAAGCTGTTAATGGCTCTTAAAAGCATTCTAGGAGAGCTTTCCTTTTGCTGAACCAAACATACCAGGACTAGAATTGGGATATCTCTGGATATTTCTTTTTGTGGATGATTAAATGAAAGATTCCTACCTTTGTAGGAAACTGAATTAATGTATTTTCACTGTATCATTTCTTTTCCTTAAATGTCTTCTCCTGTAATGCGTTACAACATGATGTAGCTAAAACCAAAAATAGAATCCTGGAACAGTTTGGGTGGGAAGGAACTTCCAAAGTCATCTTTATCCACCCACTGCCATGGGCAGGGGCATCTTCCACTTCACCAGGTCACTCCAAGCCCTGTCCAACCTGGCCTTGGACACTTAAAGAAATAGGGCAACCACAGCTTCCCTGGGTAGCCTGTGTCAGGGCCTCGCCTCCCTCACAGGAAAGTTACATGTTTAAAAACATTTTATTCCTGATGTGTTTTAGAGTCTTTCTTCATTCAGCTTTGTGTTGAGAGTCATTCACTCACTGTTGTGATTGTGCTACTCTGATAACCTGAGCTTTGCTTTGCTGGTATTGTCAGGTGAGCTTTACATCTTACAGGGGTTTGGGGAGTCCATCACTGTGCATTCAGAGCAGCAGGATTGGACCTGCACGCTTGTTGTCCAGCTCCAAAATGCTTTCTAAACATTTCTTCCACATGTAAAATAGGGCTATGCTCACCGTGATGCTGTGGTGCCACTGACACTCCCTTCATTCCTAACTGTGACTCCAGCTGTGAGCTGCTGGAGGCTTTGGCAGATGAGTTCTGGTGACTGCTTGCAGCAGCACAGGATGCTCCCATCCATCTGTCCATCCATCATTTGTGACCTCACAGTGGAGGGAGCAGAAGGGAATGGGTTCCTCTGCATTTGCTTCTGCCCTTTCCATCTGGTCAAGCCCCTTCTGGCAGTGCAGGTGGTTTCACTGGGCTGTGAGGTGCAGGTGTGTGTTCCCTCCACTGGCTGTCCTGTGGGGCAATCACTGTTGTAAAAAGGGACATGTTTGGATGTAGTTATTCCTTATCTCATTGCAGAGAGATTGAGTAGGATTGACTGATTAGGTCAGGTTTGTGACTGGGCAAGTGCTGTGAATGTTTGGTGACACACAGAATCATATAATACTTGGGGTTGGAAGGACCTCTGAAGATCATCCAGTCCAATTCCGTGCTAATGCAGGCTTACCTGGAGTATGGGACACAGGAACACATCTAGGTAGGTTTGGAATGTCGCCAGAGAGGGAGACTCCAAACCCTCCCTGGGCAGCTGTTCCAGTGCTCTGCCACCCTCCATCAAAATAACTTATTGTTCATGTTGAGGTGGTTTCTCCTTGTCCTGTCAGTGGGCATCACTGAACAGAGTCTGGCACTATCCTTTGACACCTGCCCTGGAAATACTGATACTCCCCCCATGTTTGTTTTAATATACAAACTTGTTTTTTTTCTGAACACCTTTGATGTGTGACCTATTTGTCTGTCTTTCCTCCCATAGATCCCACACCTCAGTTAGATGTCCATGAAGCAAACAAGCAGTTTATGGAACAGAGTGAAGAGCTCTACGATGCCTTGATGGACTGTCATTGGCAGCCTTTGGACACGGTCTCATCAGAGATCCCAGCCGTGTTGTAGCCTCATTGCTGAGGCATTGTGTCTGTGAGACATCCTCCCAGTGTGCACCAGACTGTTATGCTGCCCCTGGATCCTACAGTTGTGAGGGGTGGCCCTTTTCCCACCCAGGTCAGGTACTTGGAGTACAGGAGGACTGTGGTCTTTCCTGTAGAGAACAAGTATTGTAGGAGCATCATGGTAACCTTTATTCATGGTGAAAATTAGAACTGCAACAGTTTTGTTCCTTTTGTCTTGAAATGAACTCTTCATACTTACTGAGAAGTGTAATTCATAAACTTCCAACAAAATGGCACAGGAGAAAGACTCTACTCCATCGTACAATAAATTACCCTTTGCATTTTGGTTCGTGCCCATCTTTCTGCTTTGCTGCCCATTCAGCTGTCTTAAGTCATTTGACCCAATGCTCATGAATGTGTTATTTCAAAAAAGATCATTGTTGGACACCACTAAAATGTCTCAAAATCTTTCCAGTGACTGGGTATGGTTGCTGTAACTTAAGCATGGGATGAAAGCTTATGTTGTGGTTAACTTAAGCTGTGATCTTGAGCTTGCAAGTTTGATGTTCTTAAGCAAACAACCCAAAGAGCACTTTGGAGAGCAAAGACAGAAAGGAGTGTTATAAAGCTTTTACCTTTGATGTCTTGCACACCTGGCCTGCTTCTCTACCTATGTATGAGGAAATAATTCCCCATGAACCAGCAGTGTGTAACACTTTTTCCAGCAACCATATTTAAATGTTAATTTGTGTATCATGCCTTTATTTTTTTTTATTGTGGACACACCTTGATGGTCTCTTTGAGATGCTGAGATTTTGTAGTGTCTTCCACTACTGGACTAGTGTCCAGTCAGAGTGAAACTGAGGATCTGGCAGCAAAAATGGGTCAGACCAATTTCATTGATATGTTGTGCAACAAATGGTTGTTAACCTGGAAAGCAGTTTTCTACTGGATGCTGTATAAGCTGGATGGACAAGCAATATATTTAAGCTGATATGTTGCATTAGAGGGGAAAGTGAAAATACTAGCACTTATATACATGTTATAAGCCCTTTTTCAGGCTTTTGTGCCTTAAACTCTTGGAGAAATAGCGACAGAGAAACTACTTGTAATAAAAGTCTATCTAAGGAATAGTTTGGTAACTGAAATTGCTACTGCAGAGCATTTCGTTGCCTCCCTGCCCATGTTGATGCAGAGATTTGCCACAGAATTTAAATACTTTGATAAAGCTACTTCTACTACACCTTTGTTTGTGTCCATAATTATGACCTATTTGTCAGTCTGTGGTCTATTTCATAAACTGGAAGTGGGATGTGAAGGGAAGGGTGATGTCACTGGAGTTACGTTATTCCTGACGAGTGAGCTAAAGGACTGCTGGACTCCTGCGTTCTCATCTGCTGTGAATTTTCCTCGTGCTGTGCCCCTGACTGTGCTGCTGTCTCACCTTCAGCTGTTCTGAATGTAAGGAAAGGAATATTCCCTGTGTATGCCAGGAGTTTCAGAAGCAGCAGAAGTGGAAGAGAGCAGAGCTTTATATCCTCTGATGTGGCCGCTCAGCTCAAGACACCCCCTCTTCTTCGGAAGTTCAGCAGAGTGGCATTGCAGAAGTGATGTAAAGAAGGGCATTTAAAACACTTTCTAGGTCATTCTGTTACTGTGCTAACCTGTGTGCCTTCTCCTATTTTGGACTTTTCCTACCCCCCACAAATTTTAGCTTTTACAATGTGGCCATTCCAGTTTCCTCCATGGGGTGAAGCCACATTTATTTATCAATATAAATTTATTCTGCTGTTCTCATCTGCCCAGCATTGCTGTCTGTGGAGTATTCCCTAATGCCTGGATAAACTATCTCCATACAAGTCTGTCTCTAGAGGAGAAAGGAGCAGGTTTTCAGGGATCAGACAGCAACCCTGTGGGAAAATCCTTTTGCTTTCTGCTTTTGTTTTTTGGTGAAAAGAAAAATAGTAAATATTAATCCAACCCATCCTAACCCCAAATTCCTGTGAGAGCTGAGCACGTACAGACCCTTGTGAGGAATAATTTGGGAGTGCAGAAGCCAGCAGAGATGACCTGTTGACTCCTGTTTACTGGTAGTGCAGAGCTTAAAATAGCTCCAGCTTTTGTGTCAAGAGAGAGGTTGATGTGAGGCTCTGGGCCACATTCCCTGGAAGTATGAGCCAGACTACTGGGGCTATTTGGGAGAATCTCAGCCAAGGTTGTGTGGAGCTGTTAAATCTCTGGATTGTTTGTTGTGGGTTTTTTTGTTTGTTTTTTGTTTTTTTAAATATAACTTACTTATTTTAATGTTCATTTTCAGCTCCCGGCCATTATTGCTGTGTCTGAAGCACAGGAGAGACTTTTATATGGAGCTACAAAACAGCCACCTCCTGGGATTTGTAAGGTTTGCCTTTTGGAATCCCAGTTAAGTAGAGTGTGGGATTTTGTTTCTCCTGAATGGCTACAGGAAAAGTCTATTTTAATTACCATTTAGTGTTTCACAGGATGAAAGACAAGGATTCCATATAGTAAGATAAATTCTGCTTTTGTCTCTATGTGCTAAAGGCAAGAAGTCCAAGGCAAATGATATCACAGCTCCCTGGGATTATGTAATTCCTGAAAATTGCATCCATATTGGCAACAGAGATCAAGCACTCTGCCCTTCAGCAGGCAGGGTTTATGGCAATTCCAAGAACAACTCAAATATTCTTATTGTGTTCTTTGATGAAGAGGCAATCATCTAATTTAGAGGAAATTGTAGGGACTCTGATTCCAATTTGTGTTCCACAGACTGGGAATGTTCAGCAGAGCTGGAGGGACATGGGTGTTTTAAGGCACAGAGTGGTGGTTTCCAAAGGCTGAATTCTGAGGCTGCGGAGGGGCCTCTTGCCATTAGCCTGTGTTTAATTAAAAGCTTGACAATACACATTGGGGTGGGCTTTTGGTGATCCTGACCCTCTTCCAAAGGGAAGAGGAGTCTTCAAGCATTTCTTTAACAAATGATAAGAGGGCTGAAAGAGGCTGACAGTGATTTTTTTTCTTTCCATGTGAGTCTGACTAGAGAAAATTCCTGTTACTTGGATCAGTTTTTGGAGACACATTCATATCCCACACATGAGACATACACAACACCCTTAGGAATTTCTCTAAATCCCTTTTGAGGAACAGAGATAAATATTTGACTCTAATCTTCCTGTACTGGGTATCTCATTACTGGCTTGTTAATCTTCAGCTTTTGCTAAACAAGATTGGAGAGAAACTTTTACCTTCCAGCCTTGCTATCTCCCAGTGATCTTATAAAGCATACTAGATACACCAGTTTCTAGATTTAACTTGGGATTTGCTTAACCATCAAACTAATTCAGTGGCAGGATGGGGTATGAATTTGAAATGCAGTAGCAGGAACTGATAGAGCTGCTTCAGGAAATGTCACTGATAGAGTTCACTTTCCTTTTCTTGCTGGTTAGAGCATTTCTTCAGAAAATATCTCATTTTTTTCTTCCTTAGTAGTTATTTAAAGTAAAAATGTTTTTTCCAAGTGAAGTCAGTTTTTAAGAAGGTGTGTGGGGTCCTGCTCAGCACACACTCATTTTTCTCTGCCACATGGTGGGATTCTTGGGGTGGTCTGTGCAGTTCTGTTGGATTTGATGATCATGTGGATCTTTTCCAAATCAGGATGTCGCATTATTCTATCATTCAAAGATCATGCTGCTGCTGCTGTAAAATTTCTAGGGAAAAAGCAATGGTGGAGAACACAGTTGGGAGAGATTGAGAGCTGACCATGGCCAAGACTTGCTTCAGCCCCTTGATGTGTCCCAGGAAGCCATAGGCACAACAATCTACCTGGATCACTAATGCACACCTGCTTTTCCTTACTTACAGTTTTCACATCCCTGTGCATTGTCTGCTCCCATCTGTGAGGTGGTGGGAACTGCAGCCTCTTCCAGCATGTGCTCCCTGTTCTGTGCTGTGGAAGAGGCTGGTGAGAGATTCTCGGGAGGTTTCATCAGGGCTTCACTGACCATGCACATGCAGTGGGATTTTCTCTGCCCCTCTTGGATCTCCATCCATCTTGTCATGGCAGGCTGAGGTCTGCTGTGCATCCAGTGCTTTTCTTTGCTGCTCTCTGGGAATTCTCCCAGTTCAGCATTTGGAAGAGACTCTTACCAAGCAATGTTTGCCAAGCTTTGAATTTTTGGGGAAGGTTGATGTTTTTTCCTACAGTAATCTCCGAGGCTTTACTCTGCCCTGTGATTTGGCATGATTTTTAGGCTCACATTGTATCAGTGGCTGTGCCAAGGAGACTCCAGGGATAGCCTCGTGACTTGGCGGAACAGCTGTGAGATCCATGGCGGAAGAGAATGGGAGCAGCTGCTTGTACCTTGTCCCTGACAGCTTTGGCAAGGGCTGTCTTGCAGAGGATTTGGCCACACAAAGTTTGGGGCTCACTCCCAGACTTAGCCTTAAATGGCTGAGGGTTTATTTTGTTTCCGATCTGCCGTGTTTGGAGGTAATTACCAGCTCAAAAGGTCATTACTGAACATTGGGAATTTTTTCATCTGTTCATTTGCTTAGAACAAATTAAAACATGACCATACTTTTTTCCCTTTCTCCAGGACTTCGACAGGAATCAGTCTCAGGCGTTTCCAGCTGATTTCCCGCTATGATTGTGTGTTACAGCGCGGGGCGTGGGGGGCGGCTGCGGCAGGGCCACGACCGTCCCCTGCGAGCTCTGCGATTCCCAGTTACTGGCAGGGACAGACAGCGATGCCACGGGGCTTGGGGTGGAACAAGATGGATTTATCCCTGGGCTCCCAGACAAGACTGGGGCGGGGTGAACAGAAGTTTTTATAGAGCAGCTCAGGAGCAGTGGTGTAGGAAAGTGAACCAACGAGGATATGGTAAGAGAGGAGTATAAGGTGGGGCAAATAGCTATCAGGGAAAATGGGGTGGGGGGGGAATAATGCAAAGTAACAAATGGGGTGTCGAGGGCATCAAGACAGACACAGAACTCTCTGGAGAAAGGGGCAGGGATAGAGGGAGGATCGGCAACTTGGAATGGAGGAGGTTAGGGAAAGGCTCGGGAAATTTAGCAACTGGGGAAGAAAGGGGATTAGGGAGAACAGGGAGCAAACATGGATTCAAAGGAAAACACACCACAACTGTGCCTTCAGCATCAGCAGCTGTTCCAGCACTCCCTTCCACCCCGTTGACAGGTGCTGCCGTTTTAAATCCTTTCCACAGATTATGAATCATAAGCCAGGAGCCTTACAGAGGTATTGTGTTGGCAAAGAGGCTTCTGTTGCCAAGAACCTTTTCTTCTATTTCCCGAGGGTGGAGCGTTCCCCCCACCCCCCGTTCCAAAACGGAGGAAGGAGTAGGGGAAATACAGCTGCTGATTTCAGCTTTTCAAAGAACAACTCCTGGCGTGGACCCTGCATGGAGAAGGAGAGAGAAATTGTACTTGCCCCACCCGGACTGGGGAGTCATTTAGGTGGTGTGGGGGTGTGCAGCTGCTCCCAGTGCTAGTGGGAGTGGTGAATCATGGGATCATTAAATGGTTTGGGCTGGGAGAGGGCGGAAAGCTCATCTCATTCCACCCGCTGCCATGGGCAGGAACACCTGCCACTAGAGCAGGTTGTTCGGGAGTCTCGTTTATCCTTTGGGATGGGGTGGAGTGGGACGATGGAAGGGGGAAAGACAGGAAAGATGGCTGGGACTGTAGGCAGCGCGACCTACAACTCCCAGAAGCCTCTGCGGGAGGGCCCGAGACCAGCGGCCAATCGGAGCCCGCTCTATCGCACTATAAAAGGAGGCTGCTTACCAGTTTCCGCCTCTTTCGGCCATGGCGGCGAGCAGGGTTGGGCGTGGAGTGGGCGTCGGGGACCATCCACCGCCATCCTTCGTCGCTGGGGCTCCCCTGCTGCTCGGCTCCGCCGTATGGGCGCCCTGGGGGCATCGCGTCCGGCGGCCGCGCTTCAGTGCGCTTCGAAGGCTGCGAAGGGCAGCGCGGCCTTGCCACCGCCCTCCTCCTCAGGCCGGGCCAAGCCCGGGGTAAGTGAGGGACCCCCGAGGCTGATCTAATGGCCTGTCCCAGAACAGGCGGGCGGAAGAGCTCCCCGGACCCGCCTGGCCCTATCGAAGCTGTGTCTGTCGGTGCTGTGGTAGATGCAGTCAAAAAGGAGCCGAGAGCAAAAAGATTTTCCTCGACGGTCGCCGCTCGGTTGGAACCTTAGTAACTGTCCGGCAACATCTGGGGAAAGTACATGGCCGGCCATGGGCTAAGGGGTGTTACTAGTACTGGAAGTAAGCGGCTGCCGCAAATCCCTGCCCCTGGGGTTCAAATTGAAGCACGGGGGGGGGGAGTGGGGGGAAGGGTTGTCTCCCGGCTTTCTGTACTTTTGTTTTAACTTACTTCTCTTGCAATTTACTTAAAGCTCAAGACACTTTTCTTCCCCAGCATCATCCTGGTGTAGAAGGTGGTCCTGGGATGGCTGGTGATGGCCTCAACTTTGGGCAGGTGAGATGGGTAGTCCAGGTTCTGGAGTCCTCAATTGAGAGGCTGAGAATTGGTTGGTTTTGTGGCCTCCCTGGACCAGAGTAGGAGCCAGCAGCGTTTCCTGCCCCTCTGCTATTGAGCAGTGCCAGCACGTGCTGTTCCAAGGCTATGCATCCTCCATAGGGCTTGTCCTGGGCCCTGCAAACTCCCGTAGTTCTTGCTCCATCCAAATCATGGGCGAGATAAGGGCAGTTCCTCTCTCTGGGGCTCACTGGAGGCAGAACTGGGAGTCAACCCTGATACCAGAGGCAGTCAGTCACTCTGTCACAGACTTCACCAGATAAACTCCGTGTTTACCTGCATGTTTATCCAAGACCTGTGGCTCCACACAGTAGCTACAGGTCTCCAACAACATGCCAGAGCAATGGGAAGGTCTTTGACTGCTGGGCCTCTTCTGCCTGTGACTGTCACTCACCCCTCCAATACATTTTTGGGAATTAAGCTGTTCCTTGTTTGGGGTTCCAGGGTGGGATGAGTCAGAGATGTGTCCACAAAAGTTTGCAGCCCACTGCTGATACTGGGGGTATGTTGTGATGTCTTCCAGAGGTCCTGGTTGTTCCAGAGCTCACCAAATCTGATGGATAAACCCAGGTGAGAGGGTAGTACCCTTGTTGGATCTCAACAGCCCATCCCTCCAAATCCCTTTCCCATCAGATCTGAATACCGATCTTGTGGTCGAAAAAGGAGGAAGAGTAACATTCATGCTGGTCTTGGGCTCTCTGCAGGTGTGTCCTGTGCTGAGAGGGGCCACTAGGAAGACAGGCTGCACCAGCCTCACTATTGTGGGAATTTGTTGGGAAGGAAACTCCTAGTCAGGAGAAGGGTTAAACATTGTGCCCCGGGGGCAGACATGCCATGAGGGTTGGGAGCCTGGAATTTGTTGGGCATATCTGAGCCATAGATTTACAGTGACCCATTGGCTTCAGGCACAAAACTCTGGCTCTTGTCTTTTCAGCAATAACTGTGGAAAAAGATGAAAACTTGTGAGCCCTGTCCCACGGGCTTGCTTACCATAGGACCCGAGTTGTGGGAAAGCTGCAGTGTGGAGCATGTGAGTGTCCTCTGGGGAACTCCTGGTGTTGGGATGGGCAGTAAGGGTAAACTAGGTACTAGGAGGAAATTCTTGGCACTGAGGGTGATGAGGCCCTGGTTGCCCAGAGAAGCTGTGGCTGCCCCATCCCTGAAGTGTTCAGGGCCAGGTTGGGTGGGGCTTAGGCCATCCCTGGTGCTGGTTTTCCACCTGGTCTGGTGGACGATATCCCTTCCCATGGCAGGGTGTGGAATGGGGTGAGCTTTTAAGGTGCCTTCTAACCCAAACCATTCTGTGATTGCATAATCTGGAGTGAGGTCTGGAGGACAAGGGACAGTTCAAGCTGACTGTGCTGGAAGTGGCCAGTTTTTCACCTGGACTAAGCAGGTGGGAATTATCAGCCTTGTTTTAAAAGCTTTTAATTGGCAAAAAATTGTGATCTGTGGTGCAGTGTGTGGGTGAGATCAGTGGCAGTGCAGCCTGGTCCATGATGATTCCCGAGTCTGGAGACTGTTGAATGAGTCCTGCGGATATGGGGCTGAGGCCAGACGTGCTTGCTACCCAGAGTCACAGGGCAGGGAGGGGACATCCAGGAGTTCTGGTATGTGGATGGAATCTGACACAGCACTGAGCCTGACTGCTCATCACTCAGCAGGTTTGTTTTTTTTCTCCATTTTCTCAGGTCTAAGCAGAGGGTGAGCCATCTCTGAGGAACTTGGTGGTGCAGTGCCAGACTGTTCTTTCCCAGACCTCCAGAAGTGGGAACTCTGCAGAGCCAGATCCTAGCTCCTTCCTGAGCTATGAGCTCCACCGAGTGGGAGCAGCTGCTTCTGGGATCCAGTTACCTGCAGTGGAGGGAGCTGGAACTGGTTTGTCTCCAGGTGTTGCTGAAGCTCCCATCCAGATGCTCCACATTGAAGAGCAGTCTGTTTCATGGAGTTTTCTCAGGAAGGGGTCTGGATATTAAATACTTGATTAGAGCAGGGAGCCAGTAATGCCAAGGTGGTGGGTTTGATCCCTATATGGATCATTCACTTAAGAGCTGGACTTGGTGGTACATGTAGGTCCCTTGCAACTTGGAATATTCTGTGTGTGTGGTAAGAGTTTGAATAAATGCAATTACTTCAAATCCTTGTATTTCCTGTGTTTGAGTTGCATTGGGATGGGATGAGGCTGGGCTGGCTCTGAGCCATGGAGGCTGAGCATCCCCTTCCAGTGGAGTTCACCAGTGCTCAGAAGCGAGTTCCTGTGCTTGCTGCAGCACTCACCAGTGGGGTGTCCCCTGCACCCCTTGGCAGGGGTCCCTGGAATGCAGAAATACCTGGGCCTTCATGGAGATGCTAGAGCAGCTCCTTGCAACCTTGGGATGTTCCAACACCCTTTGCTGAAGGCCTTGGTGATTCTGGTTGCCAGTTTTCTCACCATGGAGAAAAATGGATTGTGAGACACGAGGGGCTGCCAGTAGAGGTGGGCATGTGGAGCAGCCATGTGGCAATGCAACATCCTGGTGACAACAAATGACTAAATGCCAATGTGATTAGAGCTGAACCTGTGTAACTAAAGTTTGAAATGCTGGGCTGTTGCTAGGGTTTGTGTTTTGGAGTTTGGTGGTTGGGAAACAGGTTAATGGAAAAAAATAGTTTAAAAAACAAGAGAATTAAAAAGGCAAGTAAAAAATCAGTGGTTTTCTTGAGTGGTTAAAAGAGCTATGCAGAAGCTCCAAACCCTTTTTTGGATGTACACCTGGGAAGAAGATGTAAACTTTAACCAGTGTTACCAGGAAGGATGAGGACGGAGCTGACAGCTGCTCCCTCCCAAACAGTTTGCTTGGGTGACTGTGGGGCCAGAGCTGTTCCTGTCCTGAGGTGGGGTGGGGACAAGGGTGGAGACCTGTCCTGTTGCTAGTAGCATGGCAGGAATGCAGTGGGTCAGCATCTGGTCAGCTCAGCCATGGAGACAGTAACAGATTTCCCCCAGGACCCTGACTCCGAGGGACACTTCCAGTTCTGTGTCATCGTGCTGGGGGACACAGCCGTGGGCAAGTCCTCACTCCTGCACTGCTTTGCTCATGGGCCAGGTGGGGGTCCTGCTGGGGCAGCCACCACTAGCCCCACCGTCGGTGTCGAGTTCTACAGCTGGACTATCCTGATGCCACCCATTGTCAAGGCCAAGCTGCAGCTCTGGGACATGGCTGGTCAGGAGCGGTTCAGCTGAGGTGGGGTATGCAGGCCCCAGCACTGCACCGAGTCTTCCTCCCATCCTGGGGTGTTTGTAAATCCCCAGCTGGGTGTGCAGGGACAGGCAGCAATGGCTCACTGGGATGGTGATACTTTAGGGGCCAGTGACACCTTGTGCTGAGCTTGCAGTGTTGCTGGAGCTGTTCAGGGGAGCAGCAAGGGAGCAGGGCCGGGTGCTTGGTCCTGGGTCCTGGTGGGCTGGGGCTGGGTGGTTTCTTTCCTGACTTTATCAGGCTGAAGCCAGGAGCACCTGGGAGCATGAGAGAGGTTTAAATGGGGCACAAAGGGCTGAAGACCAAAGTGCTGTGGCTGGAGCTGGGATCCCAGGCCCTCTCCATCCCTGGGAACCTTTTGGGGACCCCAGGGCTGGCTCTGGTGGTACCGTATTTCTATCCAGTGCTGCCCCATCCCCACTGCATCTGGGGCTGTTGTGGGGATAAATGGTACCACAGAGTCCCTGAAAACCTCAAAGCTTTCCTCTGGAGCCACCCAGTCTGGGGAGAGGGAAGTTGAACAGAAAATGGTCATGTAAATGGCTAAGGCAGGTCTCTATTTCCCACTGCTGAGGTCCACCTGTCACCCAAAAATCTCCCAAGCTTCATCCTAGGGTTGTCCATGTTAGAGCTTCCCAGTATCCTTTGAAAACCTGCTGGGTATGCCCAGATCCATCACCAGGTCCTTCTATCAGAGTGCAGCGGGGGTGCTGCTGGTGTTTGACCTCACCAACTGGTCATCTTTTGAGCACATTCCTGAGTGGTATCATGAGGCTGGGGGGGACCAGCTGCCTGCCTTTGTCCTGGTGGGACACAAGTGTGACCTGGTGGCTGAGCAAGCCGTGTCAGCAGAGGAAGCTGGACACCTCGCTGCCACTCTGGCATGGTCTTTGTGGAGACCTCGGCCTTCAGCAACCTCAACGTGAAGTTGGCCTTCCAGACACTGGCTGGGGGTATCCAGCAGGCACTGGGCAGGGGAATCCTTGCCCCACACCAGGGATATGATGGCGTCAGGCTCTGCCCCAACCAGAGTCATGGGACCCCAAATTGTGGGGATGCTTCTCTCTCCACCCAGCACCTGCAGCCCTTAGGTGATTATGGGGCTGGGTCTCCCACCTGGGCTTGGGTTTATTTCAAACCTTAAGTTGGGGACTCAGAAAAAATAGTACTCTGCTGTCTGAGTGTTTTTAATAAACCTATGGCTTTTCCACACTAAATAAAGGCTGTGCCAAGCACTGCATCCCAGGCAGGGGCACAGCACTCAATCCATGGCATGGGGGATCCTCTTCTTTGGGAGGCACCACTGGTGGGGCAACAGCTCCCCTTGTCTGGGACACTTTTCAGGGTGTCCTGTCCATAGGAAAATGGGAGCAGGCACCCATCAGTGCTTCCATCTGGATGGAGCCAAAATAAAGGGGACAAAGGGGCTCCAAAGAGGCCAGACAGCACTGATGGTACTGGGAACGCCTCCTGGGTGGAGGAGCTCCCTGCCTGCCTGAACACGCTCCTGGTGCGGGGGTGGCAGGTCCTGGCTGCCGGCAGAGGCACTGATGGAGCCACGGTGGCAGTACCAGTTCCGGGTAATCATGCTGGGGGACTCGACAGTGGGGAAATCTTCACTGTTGCGGTGCTACACCGAGGGTGTCTTCCTGGACACTGTCAACCAGACGGTGGGGGTGGACTTCTACGTCCAATTTGTGGAGCTGGAGCCAGGGCTGCAAGTGAAGCTGCAGTTCTGGGACACAGCCGGGCAGGAGAGATTCAGGTGGGTCCATTGGGTCGTGAAGGGTGGTGGAGATGGGTGTCCCCCTCCAGATTTGGGGTGGAGTGTTGTGATTCCAAGCCCTAGGAGGTTGTTGACGTGGCTGTGTTCTCACTTGACCCTTTGGGTGAGAAACCACCATGTCAAAAGCCAAGGGAAAGGAGCCCTTGGGACTGCCTTGTAAGCCCTTGCTCCAGCTCTTAAAGGGGGTATAGTACTCCCCCAAGAACCCCCCGCCACACCAGCTGCAGAGGGGCTGGGAAACAGCTGGGAGCCCACCGAGTGCTCGGCAAAATATCTTCCTCAGATCAGTTGCTAGGAGCCTTCACACCTCACTGTGGGGCTGCCTCCACCAGCTAGGCAGCTCCTGGGGACAGGAAAGCTTGCGAGATGTGGCTGCAGGGGATGGCAGAGTGGCAGATCTGGGTTTGCAGGAATGGGAAAGTTCCAGGACTTTTGCAGCAGAGGTAGGAAAGTACTGGGGACATGGCAGCAGGGACAGAAGGGTTCCAGGACCACGACAGCAGAGATGGTGGAGGCCTGGGGACACGGCTGCAGACACAGGGGCACTGGGGGGCTGTGGCTGCAGGAGACATATGAGCTTTGGTGGCTGAGCATGGACAGAGCTGCCCCTGGAGCTCTTATTGACACAGCAAAAGGCTGATTCTCGCTCCTCTCATGGTGCTTTGAGCACAAGGTGCTGCTTGCAGGACCAGGTCCCAGACAGGGCCACTCTGTAGGCAGAGAACATGATGCCCGAGGTGGCACACAAAACCCCAGGGGCCACTCACTCCCCTGCTCTTGGTGTCCCCATCCCAGGTCTGTGACTCGCTCCTATTACCGCAACTCTGCTGGGGGGATGCTGCTTTTCGACATCACCAACCGCACGTCCTTTGAGAGCATTCGGCGATGGCACCAGGAGGTGACTGACACAATTCAGCCCTTCCGAATGGTCTTCCTGCTGGTGGGGCACAAGAGTGACCTGGCTGGGCAGCGCCAGGTGGGCCAGAGGGAGGCAGAGAAGTTGGCGGCCTCACTGGGTGTCCAGTATGTGGAGACTTCAGCCAAAGACGCTTCCAATGTGGTGCAGGCCTTCCAGATGCTGACGGTGGCCATTTACCAAGCGCTGCAGATGGGGCGGTTGGTGGCCAGCGAGGCGTGGGACGGGGTAAAGAGCAGCAGCCCACTGCCAGTACTGCTCAAGGCTCAGGCACTGGAGAAGGAGGAGAAGCGGAAGAGATGCTCATGCTAGAGCTGGGGACACTGGCAAGGCAGGGACATGCTGGGCTCAGGAGGGGAAGTGGATATGGAGCAGCCAGGCACAGGCAGGAGTGGCATAGCTATATTAAATACCTTTGGTCACCGTCTGCCTGCCTGTGTTTTCCTGGGAAAAAGGAAGTATGTTGGAAGGGTGAAGTCCCCAGGTGGAACCCCACAGGCCTGCAGAGGTCAATGTCACCCCTTCCCCTATTCTCTCTTGTACTGACTGAGATCCCAGTCATAAAGCCCTAAATCTTTAAGTCTTTCCAAATAGAATTAAAAGTGACAAATTTATCATGGAACTCAAATGATGTATGTGCCACTCTGGCTGAGTACATGCCTAGTTGAGTCCAAAGCAAAAATAACCACATACCATTCTAAGGAAATGCCCACTTTCTCTTTCAGATTAATCTTCATACAATATAATCTGAAAAAAAACCAAAACAAACCCTCTCTACAAGTCTGCAGAAAGGAGCTCCCCAGTCTCCTCATCCCACAGCGACATAAGGAGTGAGCCCCGGATGATCATGGAATCATTTCACCCACCCTGGTTTCCCCTGCAGGTACCAGGAGCGTTCAGAGCGCTGGACAAGGAGGATGAGTCCAGCTCAGCCTAGGGCTGCAGGAGCCTTCCTGTCACGCAGGGGTTTGCAGTGCTGTCAACTCCTGCATCCCCACAACAGCCCCCACAGCTTCCCTGAGGTCTGAGCAGAGCAACAGGAACAGTCAGGGGCATGTGGCCTTTTCAGTATCCAGGTACAGACAGAATCTGGGGGACTCTGACTTCCTGTTCTGTCACAACATCTCCCTCCCAACAGTCCAAATATCCCAGGAATAGGTTCAAGGTCAGGAGGGAAGTGACCTGACTGGTAGGTGAGGGACTGGCCAAATCTTTGTGGTCTAGAAGGGTCTGGAGGGGAGGAAACCTATGTAAGAGCAGCTGAGGGCACTTGGTTTGTTCACCCTGGGGGAAATAGGAGACTCACCAGCATCTGCAGCTCCTCATAGGGGACACCTCCAATCTCTGCTCCCTGTGACCAGAGACAGGACTCAAAGGAACAGCTGAAGCTGTGTCAAGGGAGGGAGAGATTGCATATTAGGAAACAGCTCTTCCCTCAGAGAGTGCTCAGGCAATGACCAGGCTTCCCTGGGAATACGCACAGCCCCAAGGCTGCTACAGCTCCAAAGAGCGTTGGACCGTGCTCTTAGGCATAGGGTAGGATTGGTGGGGCATCCTGGGCAGACCAAGAGCTGGGCTCAATAATCCTTGGGAATCTTTTCCAGCTCAGGATATTCCATGATTCTGCTCCCTGTAAACTCTCAGGAGATCCCTCACAGAACAGCACCACAGAGCCGAGGTGACAGGTACCCTCCCCTGCCACCCTAAAGAGCACAAGCCTGTGCCAGCAGATTAGATTAATTTCTTTATTAATGTAAAACAAATGCAAGTATTTATATAAACACTGACATTACAAAGTACTGGAGCAGGTAGGGGCAGGAAGGAGGAAACAAAAACCTCTACAGATGCTTCTAATACTGTCCACACACTATCAAATGCTCTGTCCCTTGGATAAACCCTTGTACGATAAACCACTTTCAAGTCACAAATGTAAGTCTGTTTGAGATATGTCACACTCTGAGGAGGAACGATAACAGGGTGTAGACTGTTTTTGGCAGGTCTCCTCATCAAGTAAAGATATTGCTGCACCGTTAATAAAAAATAGATGCTTCTCTGTAAAGCATTAAAAAATATCCCACAGATGACATCATGGAAGCTTCAGTGGAGCGGCAGGTATCCCAAACTGCACTGGTGGTGTCTCTGGCGCTGTCCAGGGGCTATTTCTTGGTAGTTTTGCGGATCAGTGCCATTCTCTGCAACAAGAGACGGAAAACCATGGGAAGTTGAGCAGCTCAGAGCAGGTGACTGCACAACCACCCACAGCAGAAACAAGGCATCCCAGGTGCTCCCAGGACGCTGCCTGACTTGCTTCCACGCAGGTCTTTCAGGTCTGTTTGAATCTTAATGGGGTTCCAGGCTGAAGAGGAGAAGGAAGTATCTGTGCTGCTCCCCTTGGCAACCTGGGTCAGTGGAATCAAAGCCCATCTCAAGGTACCCTCTCTGCCCAGTGGAAGCTGCAGCATCACCCATGAACCCACTGCAGGGCAGCTCCTTCTAGGCTCTGACCATGGCTTAAAAACCAATGGTCAAATGCAGCTTAAAAGCAAAATTAAGGGTGTTTTCAGTCCCTTTGCACAGAGATGGAGTTGCCAGGGGCAGCCGAGAAGTGCCTGTGTGCAGCTCCTAGTTGGTTTTAACCCTCCCAAGCTCCTCAGCACAAAGAGCTGCTTCTTCTTGGGCAAAGCCAACATAGCTGAGGAGACACAGCAACCTCTGCCCACTGCATAAACAGATCAGGAGGCTCTGGAAGTAATTTCTGGTCTGAATGACTTTGGAAGAGGCCACTAATTCAGTGCCAGGAGGCTATGACCACCATCCTCATACCAGCCTTCCATGTAATTCCTAGTAATTCCTGGTGTTGTGAGGGCTCCTTACCTGTTTGTGAGCTTCTGTAGTGCAGGCTTTTTTGTAGGGCCTGATCTCCTCAGAACCAAAGCCTGGGATCCACATGTTCCACTGGCGCTCTAGAATTCACAGAATGGTTTCAGTTGGAGGAGACATTAAAGCTCATCCATTTCCAACCCCTTGCCACAGGCAGAGATATATTATGTACTCACAGGCTTCCACCACAGCACTGCACCTGCACTCTGACTCCAGGAGGAGCTGAGAGCTGGGGGTAGAAGGGAAAAAAACCAGATAAGAGTCACTCACCAAGGTGCAACTGGACATCTTTGACTTCCAGAGTGTTGGACTTGCGATGCCGTGCAAGCTGGCAGGCAGCTGTCACCACACTCTCAATGAAGTCATCAGCGATCTGTAGCAGCATCTATGGTTGGAACAAGGGCAACAACCAGTCTGGTCAGCACTGAGCAGTTGAAATTATGTGAGAAGATTAAAACAAGCCCTCAGAAGCTGGTATTTAGAAGTACAAAACGTCCTGAATTGGGAGAGACCTGCAAGGATCATCCAGGCCAGTTCCTGGCCCTGCACAGGACACCCCAGC